TGACTTGTTAATAGCATGTAATAAATAATTTTTATTGCTTCATTACCGCTTATTTACATTACATAATTTATTGGGCGTTTATGAAAATGATTGAATTATTTATTAGGCCGTTTCAAGATTAATTAAAAAGTTTTGATTTTGTTTTATAATTTTAAATATTCTTGTTAAAACTATAAATAAGTTAGCCACGAGGATAAACATAAATTTCGCTTTGCTTGACAGATTTCAAGTTGTACATGAAAATATCAAGGAATTGTTTTGTGTAATACGTCTTTCAGGAATGTTAATGAAGATATAAATTGTGTTATTATTTTGAAGTAAAATCGTGTTTTATAATTTATTATTCATTTGGGGATTTGTAATTACGAATCGGATAAAAAAATGTCCACAATCCATTTCGCATTTATTACTCATTTAAAACAGGAACTGGCGCGTCGAATTTTGCAACGATAACGGATTATCATTTCCCTCGCGTAAAACAACACGCGTTGGGTTATTTGAATAATTTATTATCTTAAACAAATTCGAACGAAATCGCGGTTTTAATGCATTTTTTATAAACCCGGTTCGAATGTTTTTCGAATTTTGTATACACACACAATCGAGTTTTTGCGTTTTTCGATTTAAATATGATATAAAATTGCTGATATTTTCACCAAAATAAAACTTAAAATTCAAAATAAAGTTTTATTTATTGTTATTACATATTTATAAATGTATATTTTCGATAAAATGATGCAAACGTAATCAAAAATATATCATAGACGAGTTGTTATTTTTTTATTAAATAATAAATTTAATAAAAAGCGAGTTTAAATACAAAAAAAAAATTAAATAATAAATAAATAAATAAAATAAAGATAAGAATTTTTTATAAATTACCATTAAACTCGTATTTAGAGCGTTGAGGTTCGTGGTTAATTGGGCTTGTGGCCCCGAAAATTATCCTCGAATCGATGAACCTGCCAAACCGAACCGATCCTTTCACACGTAGCCACCAATAAAACGGATGTAAAGTAAATTTATGCAAATTTGTGGCTAATTATAATTTATGAGACGGGAACAAATTAAAACTCAATTACGCTCACCTTGGAAAATTGACCGATTTTCATATTTATTAAATTATTTATAAATTAACACTTTTTTTCTAAACCCACAATCATACTTTCAAAGTGCAAACCGACAAACTGACTTAAAAAATTCTCTCCGCGTCACGAAGAGGAGGAATCAGGTAGCACTTTCTAATTCTTTTAAAAAAGTTTCTAAAAAAACGGCAACAAAAGGGCTAAAAAAGGGCGATTTCTAATTTTGTTTTGTTGTAGTAAAGAAAGTTGGAGAGTTTCTAAAAAAATTAATATGACTCAACTTAATTGTATTATTAGATTCAACTTTAAAAGTGTACTCCTCCGAAATTAAGCACTTTAGAGGATAATTTTGGGAAAAACTCTGCTATCATTTCATTGATATTTGAGGAGTGCTGCTAGAGCTAGCTAGTTTTGCCAAACTAAGAGTGACTGCCCCTAATCGACTACAACTAAGTGCAATAATGCCATGATAATCATCAACGATATTGCCCCAACATGAATTTTGAGTCCATGTTCCTTTTCGCTTTAATTGGACAACACAGGAGCAAATTTGGAAAGTTCTGCAACTTGTGTTCAGAAGAGAACTTTTCCAAGTCTGAAAATGCGAAGCTCTGGGACGTTAGAGAATGGTTTTGAAATTGATGCCTATTATAATTGAACCTTAATTAATTTGACCACACTAAACTTCTTTCTGACAGCCCTCAAGGAAAATATTTATTTTCCTATTCTATTCCAATGACCTTGCACAACTCCCAAGACTTTGTGGATGTTGCAGAATTTTAAATGATTGCGATATTTGACTTCCTAATCAAATGATTTGCATGTTTTGAACCAATGTTCTAAAAAAAATAATTACTAATAAGTTGTTGAATCATTTCGATTTGTCAAGAATATTAAAAATGCTTTAAAATGAGTCTAAACTCGATGGGATTATCTTAAAAATACAATTTTTGGCGATTATAGTTGATTTAACCTAACTTTAAAGTTGGTGTAATGTATGGTTATGATATTCTTAGTTCTTATAAGCTCACGAGTGACAGTTTTTTAGATTTTTATAGCCTAACTTTAAAAAGTTGTGTAGTCCATAATAATGGGAGTTCAAAAAAGGTGAATACATCAAATTAAAGCTTAAAGTTTTCTTATTAATTTCGTACCTAAATAGTTTCTTAGTTTCAAGTAATCCATGAGTTACAAATTTTTGAAATTTAGCTATTTTTTTCGAAAAACATTAAAATTAATCTCAACTTTAAAACTTCCTCCCATCCAAATTTATAGAGATTAAAAACCGATTTTTATATCAAATTAAAGTTTGAAATTTCCTTTATTATTTTTCATATATCTCAACTTTTAATCTTTAAGAATTAATTGGTTACAATTTTTTTAAGATTAACTCAAAATCTGATTTGATTAAAAATGTTAGTTTTTAAGCCTAACTTTAAATTTTTGTGTACTCCGTAATGATGGGAGTTCAAAAAAGGTGAATACATCAAATTAAAGCTTAAAGTTTTCTTATTAATTTCGTACCTAAATAGTTTCTTAGTTTCAAGTAATCCATGAGTTACACATTTTTGAAATTAAGCTATTTTTTTCGAAAAACATTAAAATTAATCTCAACTTTAAAACTTCCTCCCATCCAAATTTATAGAGATTAAAAAACGATTTTTATATGAAATTAAAGTTTGAAATCTCCTTTATTATTTTTCATATATCTCAATTTTTAATCTTTAAGAATTAATTGGTTATAATTTTTTTAAGATTAACTCAAAATCTGATTTGATTAAAAATGTTAGTTTTTAATCATAACTTTAAATTTTTGTGTACTCCGTAATGATGGGAGTTCAAAAATGATTAATACATCAAATTAAAGCTTAAAGTTTTCTTATTAATTCCTTACCAAAATAGTTTCTTAGTTTCAAGTAATTAATGAGTTACACATTTTTGAAATTAAGCTATTTTTTTGAAAAACATTAAAATTAATCCCAACTTTAAAACTTCCTTCCATCCAAATTTATAGAGATTAAGAAACGATTTTTATATGAAATTAAAGTTTGAAATTTCCTTTATTATTTTTCATATATCTCAATTTTTAAACTTTAAGAATTAATTGGTTACAATTTTTTTAAGATTAACTCAAAATCTGATTTTATTAAAAATGTTAGTTTTTAATTATAACTTTAAATTTTTGTGTACTCCGTAATGATGGGAGTTCAAAAATGATGAATACATCAAATTAAAGCTTAAAGTTTTCTTATTAATTTCGTACCTAAATAGTTTCTTAGTTTCAAGTAATTCATGAGTTACACATTTTTGAAATTAAGCTATTTTTTTCGAAAAACATTAAAATTAATCCCAACTTTAAAACTTCCTCCCATCCAAATTTATAGAGATTAAAGAACGGTTTTTATATGAAATTAAAGTTTGAAATTTCCTTTATTATTTTTCAAATATCTCAATTTTTAATCTTTAAGAATTAATTGGTTACAATTTTTTTAAGATTAACTCAAAATCTGATTTGATTAAAAATGTTAGTTTTTAATTATAACTTTAAATTTTTGTGTAGTCCGTAATGATGGGAATTCAAAAAAGGTGAATACATCAAATTAAAGCTTAACGTTTTCTTATTTATTTCGTACCTAAATAGTTTTTTAGTTTCAAGTAATTAATGAGTTACACATTTTTGAAATTAAGCTATTTTTTTCGAAAAACATTAAAATTTATCCCAACTTTAAAACTTCCTCCCATCCAAATTTATAGAGATTAAAAAACGATTTTTATATTAAATTAAAGTTTGAAATTTCCTTTATTATTTTTCATATATCTCAAGTTTTAATCTTTAAGAATTAATTGGTTACAATTTTTTTAAGATTATCTCAAAATCTGATTTTATTAAAAATGTTAGTTTTTAAGCCTAACTTTAAATTTTTGTGTAGTCCGTAATGATGGGAGTTCAAAAATGATGAATACATCAAATTAAAGCTTAAAGTTTTCTTATTAATTTCGTACCAAAATAGTTTCTTAGTTTCAACAAATCCATAATTTATCTCAACTTTAAAGTTTCCTCCCAATAACTTGTATTTTATCTTATAACTTTAAAGAATTTTAATAATGTGAACTATTTAGATGGCTATTAGCCGAAACTAGTAAGACTCATGTTTTTGTTTAGTTAAAGACATATTATTTTTCTTTTTTGTTTGTAACAAAAAAGGCAATATTCTTTGTATTTCGTCAAAAAGGAAGGTAATAAATTTAGCGTTTGGATTCTCTACCCCTTCGCGTAAGATCGAATCTAGAGGAACGTTTGCATGTAAATATAACGCGAGATAAGTTTAAAGTTATTGCTCCGAACCGGGCGTAACGTATTATGACAAGTTTATTTGAGACAAAGGAAACGTATACGGGTGTACGGTGCCTGATATTTTACTATATCTCCGACTTGGATCGCCTGAGACTGGTGTTAGAATAAATATTATATAAGAGATAGAGGGGGAGAGAGAACAAATACAAACATAAATTGTAATAAATCATATTTAAAAAAAAATCGTGTGCAAAATAATTTATTAAGTAACTCCAAAAATAGAGTAGGAACCATAAAACCATAAAACCATCAAACCATCAACGTCCGGTCGATTTTCACGATCTAAACACGTCGTCGTCGACGAGATTTTCAAACAAACATTTCACGTAGCCCTTAAATCTCGAACCCAACTTTAATAATACAAAAAATTTTATCGTTATTTTCATCTTTTTAACGAATTAATTTTTATTTTGACATAAAAATATCGCAGTTAACTAAGTTTATCGCGTGGCAGCCATGATGTTGAGCGGCGCTTCGTCGGTCGGCAGCGTCGCGACGCTTTTTTCGCGGTTAGTGCGTCGCGAAAACCTTCAAAATCGGTTTCCGGACGTCGTACATACCTCTGGGTAAGTGAAGATTGCGTTTTTCCTGTTCGATTTTGCGAAATTTCCTCTTAAATTTTCGATTTTTTCCTCACTTAACGATCAATCTCGGACGGTAGGGAGCAGCACAGTCGACGGAAACAAACATGGCCGCTCCCACTACCGCCCGATCGAAGAAGGCCCCGATAGCTTTTAAAGAGTGGGGGATAAAAATTCTGCGCATGACTTTAAAATTAAAGTTTTATTATTATTAAAAATTAAATTATAATTAAAAACTTTATTATTATTGTTTATATTTTTAATAATTTTATATATATATATAAAATATATATATAATCATATATTTTATTTTATAGCAGTACAATTTAACTAAATTCTTATTATTTTTTGTGATATCTTGGTGTGATTTTCGATTTATTTATTTATTTATTTTTCTTTTGATTGTCGTCGTCTTCGTGGTTGTCGTCTTCTTCGGTAACCGTTATGGTCCGCCGGTCTCGTTATCGCATGGCCGTCGGGGTTCTGGAGGAGAGCGTCGTCGTTCGATTGGTTGGGCTTTTAATAAGGACCGGTTCCCGTATATGGAACCCCTTCTGGACGGGGGCCTCCGGGCCCCGTTCACTGTCACCGGCATTTCCTTGCTAATGAGATGGAATCGACGGAATACTGGGGTCCGGTCCCGAGCTCCCGTGTTATTCCAACCGGTGGGTGACATGCAGGAGAAGAAAAAAGACGCCGCCACAGTGCCGAAGAGACCCATGGAGATAATAGCCGATTCGAAAACTAACGAGGAGTCACAAGTTCAATACTCCAAATTGTTGGTACTCAAAACTACATTTTTTATATTTTATTAAATTGTGGGAAGTAGTCGTATATTTTCTTGTAGAATAAGGAGTGGACAAATCGCCGAACCCAATTAATCTTCTCCAATTCTAACAGGGTCCGACGTGGAGTGTTTACGATCCGGACAAATGTTGTAAATACGACGTCGTTTGAAGACCTCCGTTTTCTTCGTTGCGACAGCCCACGTTAATGCTTCTTTTTGCTGTTCTCCTCGTTAATGGCCCTCCAATTTATAAAATTCCCCTCGGAGGAAAATCGATTTCAACTTAATAATCCCCTCTCTTAATATCAAACATTTTTCTCATTTTCTCACTTCTTTTCTATATTTATATCATAGTTGAAACAGATTGTATGTGGAGTGGTATAGAAGATATGGAGATATCATACCGTCGAATGGCAGTGACAACTGCGGACGTACGGTTGCGATCTAAATCAAACGCCGAGCTCACCTGTCACCAGAAACAAGAATGCCCGACCGCCACGACTGACTCGTCCCCCCATGTATATGTATATATGTAAATATGGGGGCTCGAAGCCTGCCGCATGCCCTCTGCAGAGAACGGGAGACTCAACGAAACGAAGAGGTAAATGCACGCCGCCGCCCGGTACTGCAGTTTTATTAAGAAGTTATTGTCGCTAATGTTATTATCTTTAAACAAAACATCATCGTAGAAATTTTATCTTAAAACAACGTGTAATTTTCTTTATCTCACCGATTTCGATTTGTAGAGATCATCTTCAGGGGAAACTAATAATTTTTTCTAACTATTAATTAATCATAATCATTAAAACGTTATATTTACCGTTATAATCAAGTCAACTATAACTATAACAACTATAAAACTCAATATAACGGTATTTTTATTCTCAATTCAAAATCGTATTGTAACTAAGAAGAATTTTTAAGAACGGTTTCTCTAATTAGAAAGACGACACTTTTTTTGTGTAATTTTTGGCAATTGCAAACAAATATCTTAAGAAATTAATTTGAACCTCAAAACAGTGATAAGAAATTGAGTGACTTTAAAACGTGGTATCTCAAAAACTATAAGATATTTTCAAAAACGATTTTTTTTATTGGAAAATTAAGACTTTTTATTGTAATCTTTAAGAGTTGCAAAACTATATCTTAAAAAATCGATTTTTTACAAATTTTTTAAGTACAGGACTAAATTGTTTACTTTAAAAAACATTAATCTTTTTAAAAATGTTTATCTTAAAAACTAATAGGTATTTCCAAAAACGGTTTGTTTTAATAAAAAGCTAGCACTTTTTTATACAACCTCTGAGAGTTTCAGAGCTATATCTCAAAAAATCTAATTTCTACGATTTTTTTAATTACAATGTATTATTTACCATAAAAATGGTGGAACATCATTAGTCCTATTAAGATTTTTATTCTAAAAAACTAAAAGGAGTTTCTTTTATTGGAAAGTCGAGACTTTTTAGTATAATCTCTGAGAATTGCAAAACTATATCTTAAGAAATCGATTTGTTACGATTTTTTTAAGTATAAAGCAAAATGTTTACTCTAGAAAAACATTATTCCTTTTAAAAATTTTTTTCTTAAAAACGAATAGGAATTATTAAAAACGGCTTCTTTTATTGGAAAGCTGGTACTTTTTTGTATAATCGCTAAAAGTTGCAGAGCTATATCTCAAGACATCAATTTTTTACGATTTTTTAAAGTACAGGACTAAATTGTTTATCTTAAAAAACATTAATCTTTTTAAAAATGTTTATCTTAAAAACTAATAGGTATTTTCAAAAACGGTTTGTTTTAATAAAAAGCTAGCACTTTTTTATACAACCTCTGAGAGTTTCAGAGCTATATCTTAAGAAATCTATTTTTTACGATTTTTTAAATTACAGTGTATTGTTTACCCTAAAAATGGTGGAACATCATTAGTCCTATTAAGATTTTTATTCTAAAAAACTAAAAGGAGTTTCTTTTATTGGAAAGTCGAGACTTTTTAGTATAATCTCTGAGAATTGCAAAACTATATCTTAAGAAATCGATTTGTTACGATTTTTTTAAGTATAAAGCAAAATGTTTACTCTAGAAAAACATTATTCCTTTTAAAAATTTTTTTCTTAAAAACGAATAGGAATTATTAAAAACGGCTTCTTTTATTGGAAAGCTGGTACTTTTTTGTATAATCGCTAAAAGTTGCAGAGCTATATCTCAAGACATCAATTTTTTACGATTTTTTAAAGTACAGGACTAAATTGTTTATCTTAAAAAACATTAATCTTTTTAAAAATGTTTATCTTAAAAACTAATAGGTATTTTCAAAAACGGTTTGTTTTAATAAAAAGCTAGCACTTTTTTATACAACCTTTGAGAGTTTCAGAGCTATATCTTAAGAAATCTATTTTTTACGATTTTTTGAAATACAACCCTAAAAATGGTGGAACATCATTAGTCTTATTAATATTTTTGTTCTAAAAAACTAAAAGGTGTTTTCAAAAACAGTTTCTTTTGTTGGAAAGTCGAGGCTTTTTAGTATAATCTCTGAGAATTGCAAAACTATATCTTAAGAAATCGATTTGTTACCATTTTTTTAACTACAGGAGAAAATATTTAGTCTAGAAAAACATTATTCCCTGTAAAAAATTTTTTCTTAAAAACTAATAGGAATTTTTAAAAACGGTTTCTTTTATTGGAAAGCTGGTACTTTTTTGTATAATCACAAAATGTTGCAGAGCTATATCTCATGAAATCAATTTTTTATGATTTTTTAAAGTACAGGCTAAATAAAATTGTTTATCCTAAATAACATTAATCTCTTTAAAAATGTTTATCTTAAAAACTAATAGGTATTTCCAAAAACGGTTTGTTTTAATAAAAAGCTAGCACTTTTTTATACAACCTCAGAGAATTTCATAGCTATATCTTAAGAAATCTATTTTTTACGATTTTTTGAAATACAGTGTATTGTTTACCCTAAAAATGGTGGAACATCATTAGCCTTATTAAGATTTTTGTTCTAAAAAACTAAAAGGAGTTTTCAAAAACAATTTCTTTTGTTGGAAAGTCGAAACTTTTTAGTATAATCTCTGAGAATTGCAAAACTATATCTTAAGAAATCGATTTGTTACGATTTTTTTAAGTATAAAGCAAAATGTTTACTCTAGAAAAACATTATTCCTTTTAAAAATTTTTTTCTTAAAAACGAATAGGAATTATTAAAAACGGTTTCTTTTATTGGAAAGCTGGTACTTTTTTGTATAATCGCTAAAAGTTGCAGAGCTATATCTCAAGACATCAATTTTTTACGATTTTTTAAAGTACAGGACTAAATTGTTGATCCTAAAACACATTAATCTATTCAAAACCTTTTTTCTTCAAAACTAATAGGTATTTTCAAAAACGGATTCTTTTATTAGAAAGTTGAGACTTTTTTGTATTGAATATTGCAAAGCTATATCTTAAGAAATCAATTTTTTACGATTTTTTAAAGTGCAGGCTAAAATTATTTATCATAAAAACCATTAATCTCTTTAAAAAATTATTTTCTTAAAAGCTAATAGCTATTTTCAAAAATAGTATCTTTATTTAGAAAGTTGAAGCTTTTTAGTATAATCTCTGAGAGTTGCAGAGCTATATCTTAAGAAATCGATTTTTTAAAGTACAGAACTAAATTGTTTAAAAATCTCGAATGTCTTATAAATGTTTTTCTTAAAAACTAATAAGTATTTTCAAAAACGGTCTCTTTTATTAGAAAGCTGGCAATTTTTTATATAATCTCTGAGAGTTGCAGAGCTATATCTTAAGAAATCAATTTTTTACGATTTTTTTAAAGTACAGGACTTAATTGTTTATTCTAAAAAACATTAATCTTTTTAAAAAATGTTTTCTTAAAAACTAATAGGTATTTTTAAAAACGGCCTCTTTTATTAGAAAGCTGGTAATTTTTTGTATAATCTCTGAGAGTTGCAGAGCTATATCTTAAGAAATCGATTTTTTACCATTTTTTAAAGTACAGGGTAGAATTTATTACTCGAAAAATGGTGGAGCATCATTAATCCCTTTAAGATTTTTTTTCTAAAAAATTAAAAGGAATTTTCAGAAAGTTGAGACTTTTTAGTATAATCTCTAAAAGTTGCAAAACTATATCTTAAGAAATCAATTTTTTACGATTTTTTAAAGTACAGGACAAAATTGTTTAAGAAACATTAGTGTTTTTAAACACTTTTTTCTTAAAAACTAATAAGTATTTTAAAAAACTGTTTCTTTTATCAGAAAGTTGAGACTTTTTTGTATAATCACTAAATATTGCAGAGCTATATCTTAAGAAATCAATTTTTTACGATTTTTTTTAAAGTACA